CCAGTGATGGCATTTTCTTACCTACTATTTTGTATGACACTTTATCATAAATTTTATGAAAGTTTAAGTACACCATGTCTACACCCTTTCCATCACCCAGAAAACCATTAGCATAATCGAAAAATGCTAAGAGCTAGTGAATCCATGTTGATTTTCTTTTATCTAACCTATATAAAAGCAAGTGTGTGTGCGTCACGTCACGCTTGATTTCTCGAAATGAGGGGAGTCATAAAAGCCAAAATACATTTATCCAAATAGAATAGTTCGATTACTGTCTGCTCATTACGATTTTAGTGACGAGGGTGAAAGGGGCCGGGGGGGGGAGGTGTGCCCTGAACCTTATAAGTATACTGAGTGTTGGTATAATAAGCCTAAAGTAAAGACGTTGTGTGGGATCACCTATTCTAGAACCAAGTGCATAAAATTTGTCATGAAAGTAAAAATATCGATTCAGTTTTAAACTTAAATCGTTTCTGAATTAAGGTATTTTCGTTTATATCACCAACGTTTTTAATAAAAAACAAACCTTTTTACTCAATAGAGACTCTAAATTAAGAAATCAACAAATATTTTCTAGTTTTGTTATCTATACATTTCATTTTATACTTTCAGTACATAGACTAACAACAATATTAGGTTATACTTTTGTTGCTAAGCAACATGACATAAAAGTCACTGTTGGAACGTAGTGTTACCAAAATGCACTGGTATTTATTTCTATATATTAGAAGTTGTTAATCTAACTTATTTTTACTAATAATTATTTCTATGAATACGCCACAAATTCATGAAATGAATGATCTAAATTTTGATTGGCTCACAAAGGAATTTACCGACGTTTGACTGCTTCGACTTCACTTTTCTGCCTCTTTGTTGGTCAAGCTTGACTTCGCAAAATATATTTATTTCAGTTAGTTATAAAATGTGAGGTTATGGTATACTATGGGGTGGGGATGGTAATACTTACCCCGTCATTTTTGACGAATTATAAGCTAGTGATATTATATTATCCAAGACGATTTCACAAAACTTCTTTTATAAGGTTCTCTAGAAATTTTCTCACTACAACAGTAAGTCTAACTGGTCTATAGTTTACAAAACAACTCTTTTCATTCTTCTTACAAAATAACAGTATCTTTAGCAACTCTTTATAACCCTCAGATACTCACTGTCTACTGACCTACCTTTTCAGTGTAAGAATAGCTAAACTTGGTTTCCTTTTACGAGTTTATTCAAATGTCATCTCCCATACTCTAAAATCATCTTAAACAGCAGAAACTGATAGAGTAGAGTAGTGTATCCATACTCCAAAATCATCTTAAACAGCAGAAACTGATATAGAGTAGAGTAGTGTATCCATACTCCAAAATCATCTTAAACAGCAGAAACTGATATAGAGTAGAGTATTGTATCCATACTCCAAAATCATCTTAAACAGCAGAAACTGATATAGAGTATTGTATCCATACTTCAAAATCATCTTAAACAGCAGAAACTGATATAGAGTAGAGTAGTGTATCGATACTCCAAAATCATCTTAAACAGCAGAAACTGATATAGAGTAGAGTAGTGTATCCATACCCCGAAAATCATCTTAAACAGCAGAAACTGATACAGAGTAGAGTATTGTATCCATACCCCAAAATCATCTTAAACAGCAGAAACTGATATATAGTATTGTAATACCATTTTTTGAATCATTCCTGCAATTTAGTCTCTTACACATTAATTTATTTACTATTGTTATGAAAGGAATAATTTGTTATTGCATATGAGAGAATCGCTTATTTGGTTATCGTCTAATTTTTAAAAGATCACTAGGGACATGTGCTCCAGAATTGAGTATGGCTGTAAAAGTGAGACATATCGTTCTCGAGTTTACTGTTTTAATTTTCATTTCACCTCAAGGGTTTTTTTTCAATAAAGATTTTATTTTGTCTTAAGTGGTTTTGAAGATATTTTAATTCCGTTAAGTTTATTTTTATGTATGCCTTAATCCTGTGTTATATTTTACATTAACGTTATCTCCTGTTGGTTTACATTACTTTTTTTCGTCAGTTAATTAATTAATTAATTAATTTCCTTTATTACGATTATTTTGTCAGTGTGTGTTTTCTGTTGCTTTTTTGCGCTTTCTTTCATTGGTGGTTTATGTAAATATAAATCGTTCCTTCTTGGCTTATTACTTTCTTACTTTGTGGTTCGTATGCCACATTTATCATTTATATGGTAACAATACGTTACGATTTAAACGATTTGTATCTTAACAGAAACAGGTCAATTTGCAAAATACACACGAAATAAAGCTCAAAGTTTTTTAAATTTGCGATTAGAAAAACATTCACGAAACACCCAGTTTTCAAAAACAGATAATACGTACAATAATTAATAAATAAACAATTAACTGAATAGATGAAACTGCCGAAGAGTTATTTAAAGAATGATTTCAGTTGTGTTTATATAAACTTTAGTATTTCAAACTAGTTAAAAAAATAAAAGAGTGTAATAAGTGCATGTGATAACTAAATCTTTGATGATCGATGTGTACAAAAGGTATTTACACAAGCAGGAAACCACAGATAGAAAACAATGGAAAAGTACATCTTTGAAACTATTATTATAAATAATATTATTGAAAAACTACTACACACAATTATTTCGAATTATATTATATTTTAAAATCAAGGTTTTCAATGTGCGAATAAATTGCTCAATATCAAATGTAGTTCAAAATTTCACATATAGGGCTTATATAATCTTATGATTTAATCAGAGATACTTTAAAAGTAAAAATCGGCTTTACTAACGTTCAGCAATATGTACGTGTCCAGTTTCCGCACTTAAAATGTCTTTTTATTTTGTATGTTAAAGAAATAATTAGGCACAAGTTTATATAATACATTTTATTCTACAATCACGTGTTTACTTTTAACTTATTTAAATTTAACTTGTTGGTTCAATTAACCAATAAGCAATGAACTTTTTAGACTTAAAATTCACAGAATTAACTAAAAATAAAAAGAACTACGAAAAATAATAAAACTATAACCTTTAACTTAGCAAAGACAAAATAGAGTGTTTTTCATCTTTTACTAATATTTCGTCAATTTTAATGAGAATCAAGTATGAATACCTTTAGATTCTACGTACTCAAATAATTCAACTCAAATTATTGGATTTTCTCTTAAACCAATACGTTCTGGTATTCTTTTATCAATTAGGTTTTCTTTTACGTAAAACAAAGCAAAGAGGAGCTGACAGGCTTAGGATAAAATTCTTGAGACGTAATATATCGTAAAAATAGCTCATAAGTAGCTTCATGATATACAGCTTTATATCAAAATCTATATATGTATATCATTACATGAAAATCAGAAAATTACAATACTTGTACGACTTTCATGACTATTTATCTATTCATTAAAATAGTATATAAAACAGTAATTATGTATTATATGTAAGCATCTTAAGTGTTATATGTTATTTGATATCTGGTGTAGTAGGGCTATATCAGAAGGACGAAGGCCATTAAGCTCAATTACAATTTTTATTTTTCTGTTTTATCGTAATTACACCGATACCAAATCCTAGAAAGAAAAACGTGTAAGCCACGAATAATGCAAGGGTGTTTGTTTGTTTGTTTGCTTTTTTTTTGCTTAAACTAAAAAAAAAAAGTCAATGAATATTTTTCCTTGACTTAACATCATACAATTATGTGCCTTATATTGTACTTAAAATTAAGCTCTTTATATATATTTTTAATTATTAGCTATTATACATTTATATATATATATTTATATATTAATTTTATAAAATTATTACTGTGTTTCATTTTTGCTTCTCAAATTAAGGGGAAAAAAAGGATTTCCAGCCCTGCGTGTAATAAATTTATTTGGACAATAGAAGGATATATGAAAATGATGTTTTGGTTACTTCGTCTTCTATGTTTTTTATCTAGAAGTATTTGCTATTTTAGTATCCAATTAATGACAAATAAAAGTGGGCATAACCTCGTCTTTAGACGCATCCCGATTGCAACACTCTTTGTAGATTTTGGCTATGAATCTGTTTTTCATATAATAACAGAAAATGAAATTCCATCACTCTCCATTCTACATGCTAGAAGAAAACATCTGAAGAAATAAAACTATTTTAATTAGGAACGTAGAAACTGAGATTTCTGGATGATTCGCACATAAATTCACCCTATTCTTGGACTTTGTTGGATCACAAATACTTTGTAGTTCCTGAAGAAAATGGCCTGCATATTGAAAGCACTTGGACTTTTTTCCATTAGTTTAAACTCGTTTTAGGAAGGAATTTTGCTATTAGATGGGTTCCTCTAATACTTGATATACGTTCAACTGAAATGGATGGAAACTATATACAGAAAGCCATATTAGTTTGACCGAGAATTGCAACTACATTTAGCACGTTAGTGACACTGTATTGCAAACAGAACGTGCTTTTAGAGCGTAAATAACGCAGTATTACAACCAGTCACATGCATTTCGCGCGTTAGTGACACAGTATTGCAACCAAGCACGTGCCTTAGCTGATGACAAGGAATTTTTTGCATTTGTATATTTAAAATTGGAGTTCTTTTTGTATATATATATATATATATTTATACAGAAATATTAAATTACATACCTCTTAACACTTGTTTTGTATATAAGATAACGAAAGTCTAATCGCTCGAAAATCTTTAACCATTACTAAATTCTAGTACTTTAAATTATGAATTTAAATACCATTTTCACAACTTCAAAGTTTAACTTTAGCTGTATCTAGTTTATGGCATATTTAAACAGAGTAGCAGGTAAAGTTTTATTAATATTAATTCCTGCTACTAGTAGGCGCTACTAACGATACCCATACTAAATAAATTTAACGCAAAAACAAACAGACTAAACGGAAATGACTTTCTAGTTCAAATAAAGTTTTAGTGGCGCTGTTCATTTGGTGGCTATAGAAATTATTTGAAATATACAGAAAAACTGTGTCTAAGTAAGCTCACCTAAATTAAAACGAATAACACAAAAAAGACTTAAAAAATTAACATCCAACATCGGATGTACACATTTCTAAGAGTGGTGTGTTTTGAAATAATTATAACCCTCACATTAAAAAAAGAAAGGCGTATTTAGTTATAAATGAGTAACCTTCATAAAAACAGATTTCAAAGCTTAACAGATAATTCTGTGACTTCATTCTCGGGATTGAAGTTTATTTTACTTGTGACGTTTTCTTGGGGCTTCAGTTTCTTCACGATACGTGACAACACTACTCCTAGACCCCGTGTTGTAAATCTGCATTCTCTGATTTCGACCAGTCTCCTCATCAGAACAGGCTTCTACGGCCGAATTGTTATAACCTTTAACACTTCCATTAGAACTTGATACTAATCTGTCCAAACGACCTCGTTGCCGGTTTGTTGGATTTGAGAACTGGTTCCGGGCACCCAAAGTTTCCATCTGATTGTGTTTTTTTATCATTGAAATCCGGCGATCAACCAAAACCCTCATAGTGTCTTTGCTTCGGTGGAGTCCACTTAATACTGGCGTAACTGTAGTCAAAGAAACAGTGCAAATGTTTAACAAGACGTTTTATGTGGAAATAAGATATCTTCTCGGCCTTGGCACGAGTTACTTGAAAATGTCGTTGTTGTTTGTAATTAAGCACAAAGCTACACAATGGGCTATCTGTGCTCTGGCCACCACGGGTATCGAAACCCGAATTCTAGCGTTGTAAGTCCGTAGACATACCGCTGGGCCACTGGGGGAGGGGCGAAATTAAAAGGAACATTTTGAATGTGAAACTACTAACTGTCGAACTAGGAAGTTCAATATATGGTAAATAATATTTAATTTCGATGAAGAAACTCATAATTCAAAGTTAAATGCAAATAATTTTATTGCCTTACAATTTAAACGATTTTCTTGAATGAAGATAATTATTAAATGTTAATGGTAAACGAAAGACATTTATTTTCCTACTCAGTTTTTCACATTTCATTAGTTTAAGTTCAAGTTTTTATATCAACTGCATTAATAGATACAGTCAGGTGTTATTAACCTTAGGCGGTAGTTCAGACGAGTAAGATAACATACCTGATTCTTCATGCAAAAACACCTGTATTCGAAAACGTCAACTTCAATAAAAAATTGTCATAAACAGAATTGATGAATAATACACTTGAAGATAGTAGCAAATTTGCTGTTATGTTAAAGTTATTATTAAAGTTTTTCTTCATTACCCATTCAAGCCGTCTCCAAACATTAATAGTAGCAAATGTTTTAACTATAGCAGAGTACTAAAAATACAAACAACACAAAGAAAAGGTTGTGACGATTTGATTTCCCTACACTCTAAATATGTTGTTAGATCCACACAGAATGTATAAATATGCTGATCTGAAAAATATCATGGTAACTTTAGGCAACCTGGGTTTCAAGGATGCCAAGTTCGAAATAATCAAGAATGTCAACACAAAACCGTTTTCATTATATCCAGAAGCCCAATCATGGTGTAATGATTAAAGACTCATAATCCTCCCGTTTCTAATTTTTCACCCCATAACTTACATGTTGCACTTCGACATATTCTTCATGAGGGGTTTCTTATTTTGCGCCCCCCAGTGGCACAGGACACTTACAACGCTAGAATCCGGGTTTCAACACCCATGGTGGGCAGAGCACAGATAACCTATTGTGTAGCTTTGTGCTTAGCTTCAAACAAACTCATATTTTGGGACCTCCTAGATGAGACAACTGGATATTCATGATACTTACGTGGAGATTTTACTTCCTGCCACCCCCCCCCCACAAACAAATAAAACAAAAATGCCAGACCTAACCCCAAATCCGATGGCATCATAGTTTGGGTAAATAAATAATTATTTATGTAATCACACCACATTAATCCAATGAACTAACAGCACGTAAAAGATTACATAGCTGTCATTGCTTCGATAGCGTTTCAGCATACATGGAGAAAAATCTGTACCTGTTATTCTGTGTACCAGGTGGAGGACATGTCAAGGTCAAGTATTAAATTCTGAACAAGAGCATCCAGGTAGCTATACTCAATGGGCGATGGAGAATCATCATATTTTTTTATTAGTTTTTAAACTGAAGTATCAGTTTCTAGAAAGCACGTGTTTAACAATTCTAAACAATGGCTGATTATTAATCAACTTACCAACTTCATCACCAGGAACAATACTCACAAAACGTTTTCTAAATAATGGCTAATTATTGATCAACTTACCAACTTCATCACCAGGAACAATACTCACAAAACGTTTTCTAAATAATGGCTAATTATTATTAATCAATTTACCAACTACATTACCAGGAACAATACTCATAAAACATGATCTAAAGAAAGATAAATATTAACCAACTTACCAACTACATTACCAGGAGCAATACTCACAAAACGTTTTCTAAATAATGGCTAATTATTATTAATCAATTTACCAACTACATTACCAGGAGCAATACTCACAAAACGTTTTCTAAACAATGGCTGATTATTAATCAACTTACCAACTACATTACCAGGAGCAATATCCATAAAACGTTTGCTAAACAATGGCTGACTATTAATCAACTTATCAACTTCATTACCAGGAACAATACTCATAAAACATAATCTATAGAAAGATAAATATTAACCAACGTACCAGCTTCATTACCAGGAGCAATACTCATAAAACGTTTTTTAAACGCCACATCAAGTGTTCCAACTCTTGCTTTCTGATGTCGTCTCTTCTCCAAATTTTGAATAGTCTTTCGTCTGGCTAGTCGATCTCCAGTTTCGTAATCATCATCATCCTTCTCGTCATCCTCTAATCCTCTCAATTTTTGAAGCTGTCGAGCTATTTGAACTGCATTTTTATCGACAAAGGCATCATCTGTCATGTCATCTACCTTCTGCCTACAACAGGTAAGCTCGATTGAAGCCAAAATATGTGACAAGGTACCAAAGCGATGAAATAGCATTCCTAAGAATTGAATAATCAAAATAATTGCGAAGAATGAAGCAAACACCAATCCAATTGGTTCTAACTGCAAGTATTCTTTGTCGATTCGAACCTCACTGGTTTCAGGGATATATGTGATGTTTGTTTTAACCCCTAACGGCCAGTTGATATGTAGTTGATCCTTATGTAGCTGAAGAAGGAAAACGATTAGGATAAAGAGGGCGTTCGACATGAGGAAGCCAAAAATTACTTTATTTCGCAGTTCTTTCAACTCTGATGCTACTCGTGCTTCATGTTCCTTATTCTGGTCGAGTGGGTAAAGATACTTCTCAATCATTTCTTTCCAGAACTGGATTTCAGCTCCATTCAGATACTCTACTTCCCCTCGTTTCAGATCCTTGTCTTCAATCCAGTACGGATTTACCAAATCGTCTCGTTCCACTTTAGGTTCTGCAAAAGAAAACAAGCATACAATTTAAAAATACATCATATGGATAAAGCTGACAATATATCCAAAAAGAAAGCCTCAAACACAATGTAAGTTACTTTTACTATCCAATATACTGTATAAATTACTAATGTGCATGACAATGCTTTCAATTCTAATATCCTTAAAATATAATTAATTATATTATCTATGGAATTATATGTTAGAGAGGAAATGTCTAATGACCTCATAAACGTTATCGTAAAGCACCGCTTTCAGGTAATTTTCTATCATTCTGTAGTTTGCTTTAACTAAGGAAGTCAACTTGAGCTAAGATGTAAAATTAAACAATCTATGAACAAGTGAGTTGAATTTTGTAACGCCGACTGGTGCATATGAAATTGTGAGAAGTATCTAACCTCTAAAAAATAGAAAGCTGCAGAATAAAACAAAATTACAACTGAAATTTTAAAGCATAATATGATAAATTAACAGCGATAATAACATTATTTAATTCCCGTAATGCATATTAGTGTATAGAAGACATATTGATACCAGAAATAAACGACCTTATAACACCAAAATGTTGTTTTTATTTAATTAGACAATCAACGTTCCGCTTTATAGATTCTTCAGGAGCGTTCACTAAAACACCAACCGAAATTTCAAAAGCGTTGTACTGTCAGTTTCAGTTCGTATTTTAGTGAATGCTTCTGAAGAAGCTGTAAAGCGAAACGTTGAGTTTTTAGCGATAATAACATAATTAATATGCCAATGATAAAAGGAACTTGTCCTGACATTTTATAATCCGTGCTGTCATTACAACCAAATATAAAGATGGTAGTGAAAATGACTTAAATAATTAATGCCCCATTGATTGATTATTAGTTATATCAAACGTTCTTGAAAAGTAGTTAAAGAAAGATTTATAAAATTTTTATATTTAATAAGTTTTCTCTAATTCCAAATTCGGGTACGGAAAGATATGAATACAAATGATGTACTACATAAGGTGATTAATAAATTAAATGGTTTTATCAATGACGATAGTTTAACACGTGCTCTTTTGAGGTACATCGAAAGATTTGGATACAATTTCACAAAATAATTTAATGAAAAAGAAACGTTACAAAATACGGAATAAGAGGCTTAGTTTTAACTCCTTAAACCCGAGTTGGCGCTACCAGCGTCCAGCCGAAAATCCCGATTTACCCGTCGGACAGTGACAACGTCCGATAAAATGTATGTTTTTTGAATGAAAAACTAATCCAAATTATGTTATTATCCATCTTTTATAGATAGATCGGAAATTTTATAAAATATGGGGAAAATTATTAGGACATCATGAAAATAATTCAGGCAGAACGCGCAAAAATTATGGGTTTAAATGATATATATTAAATAGAAAACACGTAGTTAAATTTAATATAATGATAAGCAATTAAGAGGAACTTAACTCTAGAGCACCACAGAGATCAATTTGGGAACATTTTTATTTTGTTCAAATGATTTCTATAACATTAAACTTAATGGGGAAATAACTAGTTTTATAGATTATTCGGTATTAATTTATTAATTAATAATGCTTCAAATTATACAAAAAGTAGCTTAATATAAATTTGTTTAAATAAAGCCCTTTATACGAGATTTCCTTTAAAAGAATCAAATGAAATAACTGAAAATAGTCCAATGTATTATAACAACTATAGATGCAGGTTTTTAGACAGTAAATTTATTATAAACGTTAATTATATTTTATACAAATTTTAAATATCTTGGAATAATTATATATTTCATTAAAAAGAACAAATTAAAGCAATAGGAAAACGTCGTAGTGAGATATTATTACTTTAAAAATGATATAGCTTAATTAAATTAATAATATCCATCCTACCTGTTTCATTTTATCTTACAGTATGGTATATACTGCTTGGGGGTGGTACTTTTTTAACAATTAACAAATCAAGAATTACAATGCAGTTTAAAAATATTATAAGGTGTATGTAATTGTTATGATTAATACGAAATTACATCATTAATATTTAAATATACTACCATTACTTAAATTATACACTTATAAAACATAAATATAAAAGTAATATATGTAAAAAAAGAGTTGAAGTACTGGGAAATTTACAAATACTTAAAGTAAAAAAAGGGAAAGATTAAGAAAAAAGTTATTTGTGTTAAGTATCGAAACTTTATAACAATATTCTAAGTAAAATAACATTACTATTTAATGATAAATATATATATATATATATATACTAAATTAGAATGATAACTAATATCTATGAACTTAAAAAAATATCTTTATACTATTGTTTGTTTGTTTTTAACTATGCGCAAAGTTACACAAGGGCTATCTGTGCTCTGCCCACCACGGGTATCAAAACCCGGTTTCTAGCGTTGCAAGGCCGCGGATCTTCCGCTGTGCCACTGGGGGGGGGGGGGGGG